GTGCGTGCGTGCGTGCGTGCGTGCATGCGTGGTGCGTGTGTGTATATGTGTGTGTGTGTGTGTGCGTGCGTGCGTGCGTGCGTGCGTGCGTGCGTGCGTACGTGGGGCGTGTGTGTATATGTGTGTGTGTGTGTGTGCGTGCGTGCGTGCGTGCGTGCGTGCGTGCGTGCATACGTGGTGCGTGTGTGTATATGTGTGTGTGTGTGTGTGTGTGTGTGCGTGCGTGCGTGCGTGCGTGCGTGCGTGCGTGCGTGCGTGCGTGCGGGCGTGCGTGCGTGCGTGCGTGAGTTCGTGTGTGTGTATTATATAATGAAATGGTTGAGCCATTACGTAAATACATACATAATGTATGACAGTTTATTAGCATGGATCGGTAGAGGGGTACAGAAAATATAGTGGTACATAAAAGATGAGAATGGCGTGCAGGGCCGGCACAAAGGGATAGTAATTCATATGGGCTTTTTTCATTCGTACCGTATATAAATGCCTTTCACTAACAATACCTGTTTGACTTCATCGATTGATGAAATATGTGCGACGAATATGTCTACAGCAATATCGACTGGCTTTCCTGAAATCAATTATATAAACTGATATTATGTCGTATAATACATGCCATGCCTCTCTCCCTCTCTCTTTCTTCCTCTCTCTTACTCTCTCTCTATCTCTCTCTCTCTCTCTCTCTCTCTCTCTCTCTCTCTCTCTCTCTCTCTCGCTCGCTCGCTCGCTTGCTCGCTCTCCTTCCCTCCCTCACTCCCTCCCCTCTCTCCTCTCTCCTCTCTCCTCTCTTTCCCTGCCCCGCACACACGCGCGTACACACGTACCTGTTAGGTATTTAGGGCTGATCCCCGGATTGGATTCGGCCAAAATCTGAGCTATAATGTCCTGTTCTGTTACCGTGGCTTCCACTGCCAGGCTGAAAACACATACATTGTAGCGAGACCTTCACAAAGCTTCATTCGTAGTGTTCACATCATGTTATGCCCTACGTGTGCTGTATGCGCAATCCATGATTATACAGAGAAAAATTATGAATCGATAGACATGCAACGTTCTGTTTGAGACTCACACCACGGGTGTTTCATTAAATATACAGTACGAACATGATATTCCTAGCTGGGTGAGAATCTTTTATAATAAGAGTACAAATATATGCATGGCTTCCTGACAGTGCTGTGAATATATGGGAACAAATCCTCTTAGCAACAATACTTTTGTTCCTTCTATTGCTAGCAATTACTATTATTATATTGAACAATCCTTCTAGCAATGTGTAGCTAAATGTGTGAGCTATTGTGTCCATGACTCAGTTTAGTGAACCTATATTTATTCACTCCATATATACTAGCTTTTGTGGCTGGCATGAACAACTGCCTGCCAAACCTTTATATTTTAATAATAAAATAACTAATAATATAAATAACCACTGTAATAATAATAATAACAATAACAACAATAATAATATTAATATTGTTATTATTATTATTATTAAGCGGCACAGGCTCCAGACGAAAGATACATGCGTTTGGCATGCCAACTAAACGACCTTATATGCGCATTTGTAAGTGTGACTCACCATTTTAGCAGTGCGGACAGGCAGATACCGAGAGATGAGAAGAGGAGAGAATAGACGCTGCTCTGCATGCTTGCAGTATTGATGCAATGCACCAGCACGCCCTGGTGAATCTGGCAAGCGAGCAAAATAGTAGCGCTCCCTCAATTACGTAAATGGACCTAGCGACGGGAAATGTCGACAACAGCAGCGGTTCTACTGCACTCCGTGTCTTGTCACTGACAGGCTGTAATGCAAGCACGAAAATAGTGCCCATTGATTGCAACAAGCCAAACATACCGGGGGTGGGGGGAATACCAATAGGGATTCAAATCTAACAATGTGTCTGTGATAAACAGTGTCAGGTCGTGTCATCCGTATAGGGACGTTGATGAGAGCGTGTGCCTCGTGGTCTGCTGGTTCTGCATGGCTTCTAAAGCTGTCATAGTCACGTGTGCATCTGCGTCTCTTGAGGGAGTTCTCACACGCGCTACAGTGGATTCCTCAAAGACACTGGCAGCGTGAAAGTGAAAGCACTGCGAAACACTACAGTGGGAAAACACCGGTAGCTTGTCACTAGATCTGTGCAGCAACAACCAGCGTCTGTGTTGGGCAGGCACAGGTAGCGTTCTGAGAGTGTCACCCCCGCCAAACCTGCACCTAGCACCAGCCGTGGCTACGATATATACTATTGTATCCACTCATTCATTCCCACACTAGCTAAACACGCCGAGTCTCCGGTGACGCTATGTACCAGTAGTCATCCGATCTACATGTTACTGGCTGCCCACATCCGTTCGTGCTATAGTTACCCTGCGCAGCTCATTCGCACACAGTTAAAGCGATGTATGTGCTATAGTTGAACGACTGTCCTCGTTTTTATCAGGGTATTTGAATTGGCGAGTCATGTTATTATGCTATATAATACACTGCGTGTGTGTCCCTAATGGGAGCAAATGTTCACGCATTGATCGTCCATTAGTGAGAAAGGTTTGTATGTTACTAACAAACAACTATATTCGTTTTCGAAACCCATGCATTGTGGGGACATAACAAACATTTTAGCCTGCACACTTTGCGGTTTACCAATAATATTCAGTCAGCGTGTTTATAATTCTAATTACTATCATCATTGTAACGAAGTCGGCACACACTTTCCCTTTCGCTCTATAACTCGACGCGTACCAAAACCAGGTTACTGCGACCTTTATTTGACCTTGACTGACCATATTTCCCTTCCGCTCTATAACTCGGCCCCTAATTGACCTAGCGCGAGCAAACTTGGTATACTTACACATCTTGGGGAGAAGGTGTGTCGCGTACCAAAACCAGGTCACTGCGACCTTTATTTGGCCTTTACCTTGAAATTGATCATATTTCCCTTCTGCTCTATAACTCGGCCGCTACACTTAGTATCGGCGCCTTGTATGTTGTAACACCTCAACAGCTTTATTATCCCTGTTTCTCTGTGTGCTAATATAATTACTATACTTTGCATACATTGCCATTATCTACTGTTTGCGTGTAGCACAGTATTATACAGTAAGATTCTTTTTATAATGTGTTTTTTTCCACTGACCTAGTTTGACCTTGACCGTGGACTTAGTTTTCCTCTTTAGCCTCTAGGGTAACCAAATTTGACATACTTGCACATCTGAGGCAGATGAGTTGTGTAACAAACCTTTGTCTTTGTGACTTATTTCACTTTACCTACCTTGTACGTCCTTACGGAGATATTTCATTCATACTAGATCGCGGGGGATACATGTAGTTGGCGACAACTGCCATTTCTAGTTATCTATTCATTGTTATTATGATAGTCATTGGCTGTTTACAAATTGTGAAATGTTGAACAGTTGGCTTTAGTATCTCAGTGTAAAATTACTGGAACCTCTTTAATCCTTTGTTTTTAATTCATCTCTTTAATTTTTTTTGGAAAATCTCATGTAACTTATCTACCTGCCTTCTTTATTTTTTATTTTTTAGTCTGAGCCACTGAGGGCAGCTGAGATTGATACATACTTTAAAAAGTTTGACGAAGCAGAGAAAAAATACATGGAGATGGATAGACGGTATATAAGTAGCATTTAAAAACGTATCACATGTTGTTATTATTACTATGCATGAAATAAAGTACAATTATGTCAGATTATCACTGTAACATAAGCAGCGCATAAAAGTCACAGTAAAAGTAGTACATAATTTTTTTCAGTGTGTAGTTGTTGAAATATTCACTCGTTAATATAATTATATAATCATAAAACATAATTTTGAATTATGAATAAATTCATTAATTAAGGTTTAATCAATAATATAATTATCAACTAGCTGGTGAAAATTCCAATTTTATATACATTTTTCTTATCGTATTATATTATCAGGCGTGAATAATAGAGAGTATACTCCGATCTCTATTATTCACTCCTGATATTATCATACATTATTTATTTGATTATTATAATTGTTACTTGCCTAGTTGCATTATTAGCTAGGTAGAACTTGGCGTACATACGTAGGAATGGTACACGCTAATCCATGCTTTACTGCATTTATTTGACATATGCTGCGCACCTGTTTAACAGAGACCTGGCGGTGGCTCTGCGTCGTAAGCTCGGAGACTGGTTCCGCGTTGTGCAGCTGCTCAAGTCAGGAGAGGGTGCCGGGGATGACGTACAGCTTGAGGAAGCGTGGAACGCGATCGGCGACTACTATGCCGACCGACAGAAATGGTACGGTGCCGCCACTCAGTGGCATGATAGATAAATAAATAAGGTGTTCCGTCACGCCTGACATTGTCCCTCGTCGTCGTTTTCCTATTGATGTGTGAGCTGTCAAAATGTTAGAAACCCAACTAACGATCCCTCAATCTGTGTGCGTGCGTGCGTGCGTGCGTGCGTGCGTGCGTGCGTGCGTGCGTGCGTGCGTGCAGGCGTGCATGTGTGTGAGCGAATCCGTGTGTGTGTGCGTGTATGTGCATGCATGCGTGCTTGCATGTGGGTGTGCGGGCGTGTGTACACGTGCAAACGCGTGGTTGTGTGCGAGTGAGTGCGTACATATGCACATGTGAACCCATTGTACTGTGATGATTGTCAACATCAGTTAACCAATGATTGCCTCGATTTTCTCTTTTTTACTTGCCGTATCATTTTTTGTCTCAACCTCCGTCTTTCTTGGCTATAAACCTAAGAAAGCCCATGACTGATTGCCATAACTGTCAAAGTGACATCTGAAGTGTAGGCATCTGCCAAGGACGTTGGTAAGCAGAGGGCAGCTGAAGGACAAACAGATTTGTCGTGTTTGTCTCGTGTGTGAGGCGTAGGTTTTGATGGTGTGTCGAGATCGGTGTGAGAATAAGTTTTGTTAGTTTCTGCTACGACTTTTAGTGTGAAGCACATTTTGTTATAACACTAGTAATGCAGTTGATGCGGAGAGCCATTTTTCGGAAGAGGTTGCCTTTTCCTGGTCCAGCAAAAGTCAAAGGCCAGGTGGCATGGCAACCCCTATAAGCTTTTAATAGTGAAACTAACTAAGCCTTTTTTCCCATTGAGGCCACTATTTGTTCTATCCTGTCGTTTAGCAGAGTATGCCTTATCATTGCCAGAGTATAGTCTAAATTCTTAGTTTTAGTTATTGGTTTATTGGGGGAATCTAAAGCGGGTGGACTTGACAGAAGACAAGGGCCAGTATCTACAGGTAGAGGTTCCATTTTGTGAAGGTGTGGGCTCACGCAGCTTGGGAGAGACAGCGGGAGAGAAAACTAGACTACTCTTATGTCTAGGGTCCACGCATGTAGTGTATACATGCAGTATGTACAATACCTGCTTAATCAACTGCCACTTCTGATCATTTAACTCACAATTCTGTGCCTGCCAATGATCCTCTTGTCTGGGGACAGGAGTGTACACGTGGGTTTAAACAAATTTCGAGCAAAGCATGTACCAACTTAATCCGTTATTGCCAGGCATTATTGCACATAATATCCGAACATGTTGTGAATCCATCATTACCGGGTATGTTATATGAATCAACTATTGCCACCAGGCACGCCATGTAAATTCATTAGTACCAAGCATGCCACATGTGAGTCCATGATTGCCAGCCATAATCCATCAGACTTTACATGTGGATCCATAATTTCTTGGCATGTAATATCAATCCGTGATTGCTAGGCATGCCAAATCCCATTATATTCAGGCAATAATCGATACATCGCTGGCATCACACGTGGATGCTTTATTGCCAGTAATACATTAGTTGCCAGGCATGTCATGTGAATCTTTTATTGCCAGGCATTAATCTTTTGTTGCCATGCGCACGTCATCTACATCCATCATTGCCGTGTGTCTGCTGTTCACATGCAGGCAAAGCGCAATCAACTATTTCGTGCAAGGCAAGACGCGGGACCGGATGCTGCGGCAGTGGCAGATCAGCGAGAGTCCATTTGCACCTGTAGACATGTACCAGCCTGATCCGAGCACCAGCTCCAAGTCTGCACCTTTCCATCTTTTCTTTGTTGTTGTAGCGTTCTCTCTCTCTGTCTGCTGTTGGCTCTTCTCTCCTCTCTCGTCTCTCTCTCTCTCTCTCTCTCTCTCTCTCTCTCTCTCTCTCTCGCTCTCTCTCTTTGTCTCAGTCACTCGTTCATTGTTGTTATCCGTTTCATGTATCTCTGTCCGCTTCGAGTATGTTAGCGTTGCCCGTATCCGTTGTGGATGTTAGCTGTGAATTATTACGGATTTGCAAGACATGTATTTGCACGTTTGTTAGTTACTGTAGGGGCTGATATAGATGGGGCGGCCTTAGTAAACAGTGGTGCCATAGCGCATGTGGTCGTATCTGCAAAGATCATTAGTTGGCGATGAATTTAGAGGTGATAGTGTTAATGATGCTACAAATCTGTGTTTGCGTAGTTACTTAGTTAATGCTGTCAACCTTAGCGGCTGGGACGTGTAATGTCATGTTGATGTTAGTACGTGCATGGTGTGTTAGCTCGCTGGCACTAACGCTGTGTTTGTCTGCCAGTGTCGTATATAATTATTGTTTGCTGATGTCCGTTGTGATAAGGCGGGCCTATTTCAAAAGCATCTATAATAATATGACTATGTTAGTTAATTTATATCTAAATTATACATATATATATTATAATATATTTATATATTTAGATAGATATAGATTACATGTGTACCCCGCTGCATTGCTGGCATTCGCCTTACAAGAACTCGCATTTATGTTACTTTAACTCCCCTACTTTGGTTTACGAGCTACCTGCCGTAGGAGTAACGAATTTAATTTGCCCAATCAATCTCATGTGAGACGCTGTGTGTGATCTCACACATGACCTCTGGCATGGCCTCACACATAACCTCTGGCGTGACCTGCAGCGGTGACTCGATGCAATAGTCTGCTCAACGGCGACCTTTACGTTGACCTCTCCGCGCGACCCCCACATGACCGTTTTTACGTGACCTCCCGCGGCGACCTCGTACGTGACCTCCCATGCGACTCGAACGTGACCTCGTCTGCGACCTCGTACGGTGACCTCCACGCGACCTCGTACGTGACCTCCCGCGCGACCTGTACGTGTGACTCGTACGTGACTCTCGGTGACTTCGTACTGACCGCCCGCACGACCTATCGCTACGTGACCCTCCCGCGGCGACCTGTACGCCGGACCTCCCCGCGCGACCTCACGCGACTTCGTATGTGACCTCCTGCGCGACCTCGTAGTGACCTGCCGCGCGACCCGTTTACCTGATCCTCCGCGCGACGCGCGCCGTGCGACCTTCTAGCGTGATCCTCTGACGTGCGCTCTCGCACTGCGCAGGCCGAGCGCGTGTGAACTACTACGTGCAGGGCCGCAACCAGGAGCGGCTCGCCGAGTGCTACTACAGATGGATCGAGGACTACGGCGGGCTGGAGACGATGGTGGGCCAACCTGCCGGGAACCACCGGCTGTTGCCGACGTCGCCAGATGTTCGCCAGCGTCGGCATGTCGCAGCAGGCCGTCGCTGCCTACACCAAGGTAGATATGATATTGTAGATATATGTTGTGTGTGTGTGTGTGTGTGTGCGGGCGTGCGTGCCTGCGTGCGTGCGTGAGTGCGTGCCTGCGTGCGTGCATGCGTGCGGGTGTGTGTGTGCGTGCATGTGAGTGTGTGTGTGCGTGTATTTTATGTATATTTTTATCAATCTATCTATCTTTCTATCTATCTATCTATTGATCTATCTCTCTCCTCTTTTTCACTCTCTGTCTCTCTCGTCCTCAGATTTCTCTTTCTCTCTCTCTCGCTCTCTCTCGCTCTCTCCCTCTGTCTTTTGATGGCTCTTTGCATAAAGCATCGTACTATAAACGACATGTATATATCAGTATGGGGTCAGTAAGGTAGCCAGCTGTCTGTCAGCTTTCGTTAATTCTCAGTAATTCCTTCGCGCTTCAGTGTAACAAGGTCAAGTTGGCCATCGACGTGTGCATACAGCTGAACCAGTGGAACATGGCCATAGACCTGGCGAAAACACACAACGTTAAGGTACGCGACAGTTTCTGTGACAACGTGCAAAGGGGCACTCGTGCAGGGCATCACGTATCGCCAAACTTTCTCGATCCCAACTTTTGCCAAACAGTCGTAGTCTCTGTCATGTTATCTCACGTAGGCAAAACATGTCTTCCAAAATATGACTTTAGTTTAAGGGAATCAGCAGCTCATGCACAGGCCGGGTTTGAAAAAATAGAATTTTCAAGTGATCTGTAGAGATAAGATCTGATCGAGTTAGATGGGTGTAGTAGCTGGCACATAAATGCAATAATTTTTTGGAAGCTGGCACTAAAATGCTGCCCCCTAATGCATTTTGATCATAAAATTCAAGGTCTATAGTTATCCCCTTAATGTACCAGGAAGAGGGCCACACTGGTTATGTTCAGAGCACCGCCCCTCGTGAATTTAACTACCGCTTCCGTCCATGTGCCTCCAGGAGATTGACTCGTTGCTGGTGAAGTATGCACAGCATCTGTTAGAGAAGAACAAGCTACTGAGCGCCTGCGAACTATATAAGAAGGCTAATCGCTTCATCGACGCTGCCAAGCTTCTCTACAAGGTGAGCCTCGCGTCGCATCGTGACTACGTCGCTGTCCCCGCCGCCATGTTGGCGTCTGTGTTTACCTGTCCGCGTTTGTATCGCACGTCTGATGGTAAAGATGTACGTGTAAGAAGCATGTAAGGAAAGTACTAGTACTAACTAATAGGGTCTATGTCTCCACCAGTTTAAAAACTGAGGACGTTTTGCGATACTTTAGGCTCTGATCATGACGTAGGTTAATGTCAGGATTAGAGCAGGGTTAGATTAGGTTAGAGTTAGGATTGGTGTGAGAGATACGATATGATGGAACCTAGAGAGACGTAGAACCTTTCAACAGGACTAAAAGCTATCTATCTATGCATAGTTTTAGATATTTGATGTTATTGTAGCATTCAAATTTCTTCTGTGATTGCCTTGATGTGTTTATCAGAAGTGAAACCCATTACCATTGTCAAAACTATATCACCAATAATGATGTGTACCTCAATTATATATTTTGCCAATAATATCGTATAATACCAAGTATCATGGACCCTATTGCGTTCCTGAGGCACGTCTGCGAAGCGAGGTCATTATAGCATGGTTTTATAGAAATGCTGTGCATTGTTTACTGTGAAAGTGAGATAGAGGATTGTGGTGGCAACTACAAACGTGGTAGCAGACAGCATTAGTTATTCTTCACTAATGTTCGATTGGTTTTTTACTTGCATGCAGGCGCGTAAAGGGGTTGAGATAGGGTGTCATCAGACATGGAGAATCATGGCCCACAGTATGCTCAAGATTCAGGAAAAATGGCTAAATGTTCAAAATTTTTCTGGGGGGGGGCCATGCCCCAGAACCCCCTAGGCACTGCCATGCCTACGCACGTGCCACACGTAACGGTTGTCGATAATTTGGCATGTGCGTGCATCGTATGTATGCATGATAATGTAATGTACGTGCTGTGGCGTGCTCTCGTGTGATGGTCGTCGTGGTTGTCGGTCTGGTGCTGATGTGTGCTGACGCTCGGTCGTGTGTGGTCTGTGTCGAGTCGAATTGGTCGCTGTCCTCGCGTGGGTCGTGCCGTCGGAGGTCTAGGTCCCGCGCCGGGTGAAATCACTTCGGGCCTTGGTCGTCACCGGATGTGCGCTATGTGCGCTACTGAGCTGGGATTGTGCTACCTCCGTGGCCTCGGTAACTGCATGCTGGTCGTCCTCGTGGTGGTCCGTCGTCCCGCTGCGCTCCGTCCCTCGTGTGTCGTTGGGTCGCCGCGGTGGTCCGCTATCGCGTCTGGCTCTAGCGGAGTATTACACCCCTGATTCGCACACTTCACGTGCTCATACATGCCGCTCACCACCCGAAAATAAATCCATGGC